TTTAAGGGAGGCCATTCAGCTTCAGGCAATTTCTGTTCAACTACAGTTGATGATTCTGATAGCCCCATCTCTCAGGACCGACTGACCCATGTTCAACTGCTGTTCACATGGAACCCTTCTCCACCCTTTGGAATGGTGCTTGCTTATCTCTGCCAATGATAATCCTGTGACCTCTGCCCAGGACAGTTTTGCTGAGCCATCTCCTATAGCACAAAGAACAAAGGATGTTCCTCTACCCCTCCTGACAGTGGCTTGTGACAAGGATGCAGGTTTTAGTTCTCCAAAAGGAATGGGAGAAGTTTTAAAGAGACAGAAATTATTTTTTGCCATTTTTTTCAGGCCATTCCTTCTGTTATACTGTGATGGTCAACCTCATGACTGAGGAATTTGGAAATTCAGACACTCCCAGAGGGTGTACTGACTGAGATGGGGAAATGCCCTTATGACCTAATAGTGAAATCACTCCTCCACCCCCATGGAGCATGGAGCAACTAGGGTGGTATGGCAAAAGGCTGAAACTGGGGCACAGAGAGAGCACATGGAAAAAACAATGAAGACAGAATTAAAAGGAATCACCAAAATGCCCAGAGTTGCGGAGGTCACCACCACTTGCACTTCCTTGATCGGCATGGTCACTATCACCTAGATAAAATGTGGGGATAGTAAAGTTATTCCTATGCAACTTTGTAAGGCTGTTCCTGGCTAGTACTAATGAAGATCAGACATGAACAGACAGATCTTAAGGCCCAGCTACCTGGGACAAAATTGGCTCAATGAAACTGCACCGATGCTGAGCCATGTAAGGAGATGCAAAGTGTCCAATGGTAGATGCTGCTTTTTTTCAATATACATGGATCACATAACAACTCAAATGCAGCTGCTGCCCATCTCCATTTTAGAAGCCATTGCAAGGAAAAACCTTCTCAAAGCCTTACAGTTAATGATACTTCCATGTGGCAGTCTCCTTTAATTGCTATAATCTCTCAAAGTGAGAGATGACTGACATGTAAATAATTAATTAATCATTGGCATTTTCAAGAGCATTTTGTGTTTTCAAAGGCTTGATAAACACTTTATATCTTTCAGGTACTAAGAAGAAACATATACTTTTCATGCTATCCTGGGGCACAAATCTATGCTGCTGCTGGTTCAAGGAGCTTTAGGATCTGGTTTTATTCCAACTACCTCAGGGTAGGTTCTCAACTTTATGGATCCAGCTACTATTATCAATTCTGATGAATGGTGTCAAGTTAGTCAACAATATAAAGCAGTGTCTCTCAGTTTTGGCTACACTTTAGAATCATCTGTAGAACTTCTGAAAGTCCCAACATCCAAATATGACCTCAGACAAACTAAATAGAAGTCTTTAGGAATAGGTCCCAGACATCAGTATTTTGTAGCACTTCCCATCTGATTCCAATGTGTGGCCAAGGTTAAGAACCACCACATTAGAGTAAACATTCTGTAAATCTTAAATTCATTTGGGTTATCATGGTGAGAAACATAGCTAGCAAGATTTCCAGAGGCTACCATTTCTCCTTTTTACCCCCTTTTTGGTATGGGCATACATAACAAATACTATCCCTGGAAATCAAAATAAATTTCACTTTATAGTCAACTTTGTTGGATGTATGTATGTCATAAAACAATCTTATCAGGGTAAGGTAAAAAAACATTAGAATAGGAAATTTCTGGTAATATATTGAGTTCTCAATTTTGCTGGTCAGCACAGCAGTATGGGACAAATATGAATAAATCTTTAAGGAAATTTAATGAGTACTGGAAGGCAGAAAAAAAGAAAGAATACGAAGTGGTTAACAGCATTTCTTCAATAATATAAAAAAAAAAGGGGAGACTGTTTTGTCCAGTCTGTGGATAGCTCCCAAAATAAAATGGTATAGGTTCAGGTTCTTCAAAAGACTTGAAATGGCCTTTTGTTCTATTTCATGCACTTGCCTCACACAAATTTCTTGGTTCTAAGTGGAATGATACAAACTGAGTACCCACCTTAGAAATTTCATTGATGTGGAGGCAATTATTTTTCCCAAGATCTTGTAGTTCTATCCAAGCACTATAAAATGATTGCCTCTACTCAGCAGATACCTTTACTGATAGTTTATCCATTTTGTCATTCAACAAACATTTATTGAGGGATTACTATATTCTAGGCACTGATGACAACAAGACAAAATCGCTGCTCTTAGAACTTACAGTATTGTTAAGAGGAATGGACAATAAACAAGTAAACAAATTTCCTTTTCCACTTTTCCTCTTTGCACTTAACACAATTACATATTTGTGTTGACTCCCCTAAGAGACTAAGATCCATTAGGTCTGGTGCCCTGTCTTGTTCACCACTATGTCTCCAGTTCTTGGCACAGAGTAGGTCCTTAGTAAATATTTGTTAAATGAAAGGACTCAGGGAAGTAGAAAAACAAATGGTAGTTTATCACCTTTTTAATTGATGAGTTTTAAATTTTTTTTAAAGTGTTCATTCTTTTCTGTCTTTGATAATAGCACAATGGTCGAGCATTCAACAAAGACTTCATCTTTGCCTAAAGATCTTTGTGTGTTGAAAAGCTACTTGCAAAAAAGGAATGAAGATCTTCCTCTGTTGTTCTAAAATCATATCTACTAGTACTCATTTCTGAAGGACAATGCCCTGAGCACAGGCAAAGTAAAATGGGCTAAGGCATTTGTTTGAAAGCTTTCCATTGTATTAGATGAAGCCTTTCAAAATTTTAGATCCTAAGGGCAGCTATTAGTAGCTTCTAAGTCTTCATTGAGGAAGTTAGTTTATACTAAAATATATTTCATTATACACTTCAGAATGCACAAGTCATTTCTAATTTGGGGGAAGTTGTAGCCCCCTACATAACTGAGTTTTTTATTCAATGGAACATTTTATCCTTTTATAGACATGTGCCCTGATAGGAATGTCCATGAAAGCAATTAGGTACTTGCCTGGCTTAGAAGGGACCATGACTCTTCAGGGGAGAAAACAAGCAAGGCCCATATTCTTGAAACTTAGTGATCTGGCACCAGGACAATTTACCCAGATTACTTTGTGATGGTCTTAACACTCAGCACAGTAGTGGTATAGGTATAGACTGTCCAAAGCAATGCAATTATAGGTTTAGAAAAAAAACTTACCAAAACAAAACAAAATCCAGGCTCATCATTCACTTGCTAAACATTAAGGCCCATCAAGTCATTTGGTTTTTTGATTGAGGCTAGCAGAAAAATATGCTGACTAGTTCATTACCTAAATAGGATAGGTTGTGGGCACTAAGTTAACAGAACACATTTGGTAGACTGGTAAATGTTTGATTTTTAAAGTTATCCAAATGATAGGCAGATTATTCTTATAGTATGCTAATTTTACTTCATTTACTTCTCAAATCTTCTTGGTTGCTTTCTCTTGCTTATCAGATTAAAATATAAATTCTTGAATTATGGACTTGGAGATATTGCCTAACTTACTGATCTCTTTGCTCCTATTTGTAACCCCTGTATGCCATACTTACCTCCAGTTTCCCTCTATTATTTCTTTAAAACTCTCAATAGCCTTTAAGGACTAAGCTTGAAGTCTGCTTTTCTGGTTATCACAGAATCACCTATTAATCCAGCTCACTTTTGCTCATGCTTCTTTGTGATATATATGGCTGTGTGATGTTTTTACCTTGCATAGAACCATACAACCAGAGAACACTTAGTCTAGGAGATTCTTTTTTGAAGTGCAAAAATTGGTTCAAACACAAGTTCATATATATGTGTGTTTTACAGTCTCATATCTACGTGAATATTTGATCTAGAAGCTGTATTCCTTTTTGTCACAGGGCCCAGTCTACCCCAAAGAAGAGGACACTATGAAATGCACACTAAGTTCTTTATTAACTTTATGGAACATGTAGACCAACATTATAGTGACAACAGAAAATTTTTTTCAATTTATGAAGTATGCTAGGCTCACTCCTGCATATCAACAGTTCAGTCCTGAGTAAAATGAAGCCTGGATTTCTTGAGAATTTTAAAGATTGTGTAAACCATTATGTTTAAGTGAACATGCTCTTTTTAAGATACACTGGCTTAAAACAATGAGAAAATCTTTCCTTTCCTTTTAAGTTAATTTCATTGGAGAGGCTATGGAAGCACATGTGGAACATTATGAAATAAAAGGAGCATAAAATAAGTAAATATATAGGGAGAGTTTAGCATATAAGAGTAAAAGAATAGGCAATTTATCTTTTTTTAAAAAATTAAAGTTTCTGTATTCATTCTAGAAACCTAAAATCATGCATATGTTTTAAAATGCTCCTTCTACTAAATAGATGATCTAGAGTCTAAGTGTTCTGGTGCCCACTGGTTGGGCGAATATGAATGCTGCTGTAAGGAAAGTATATATAAAAACTACTCCAGGTTGATGAAAAATACCACAGTATTTCTGAAGCATTACTAATTCTAAAAGAATTACATACATATCAGAGTATACCTGAAGCAACTAGTGAGATGGGTTGGAGATGGGATATGTATTCAAGAAATGATTGACTGTGAATATGTTTTGGAGAAGAACTTTGAGGAAGAACTTGGCTAGAGTATGACTCTTGGAGTTCTTGCACAAGGTTTTAGGTGGGATTTAAGGCATTAAGTAAAGAGACCCCTTTGACTAGAACAAAAGATGCCCACTGGTGTATAAAAATAACATTTTATGTTGAAAATTCAATTTCCCTTAGGAAATAAAAATTGTATAGGTAATAAAACTAGACTTGACTTAATTAGAAAAACTACAAAATAAATGTACTTTCAAAATCTAGAAGAAACTTTAGTCCTATCTTTTAAGTACAGTCATGCATGACATAACAACATTTCAGTCAATGATGGACCATATATACAACAGTGGTCCTGTAAGATTATAATACTGTATTTTTACCACTCTCTATGTTTAGATATGTTCAGATACACAAATACTTACCATTGTGTTACAACTGCCTATGGTATTCAGTACAGTAACATGCTGTACAGATTTGTAGTCTAGGAGCAATAGGCTATACCATATTGCCTAGGTATTTAGTAGGCTACACCACCTGGGTTTGTGTAAGTACACTCTATGATGTTTGCACAATGACAAAATCATATATTTCTCAAAATGTATTCCTGTTAAGTGACACATGACCGTATTAACAGAAAACCTTGCTTTTCAAAACCAGATCTGTCCCAAGAAATTCTGGAATGATATAACTTATTTGCTATAAGCAAAATCGAACAACATGGATTTGCTAATTGTTTAGAGAACTGACATACTTTATGGTATTTAACACAAATTTTGTTGTAGACACAAATAAGGTATTGGAAGAATGTTCATTTAAAACTTTTAAAAAAATCTTTTTAAATCCCCTCCAAATTTGAGGTATTCCCAATCTTTTTTTTCAGGTTAAAGTCAGATTTTATTAGAAATTTCCTAAACATATGTACCCCTGTAAGATGTTTAAATAAAAAAAAAATTAAATGCATATAACTTTTGATCTAGCAATGCCACTATTAAGAACTTATTCCCCATCTTTTTTTGTGTGGTTTCAATTCCATCCCAGCTATGAAATCTTGCTTAGGCACCAAGAGGTAACAATTTTAACTACATTTTTTTAAGTTACAGAGGTTAGGAGATGGAGAGAAATACACTAGATAGCCAAAGGGAGTGGGGTATCTATTTTCCAGCAGGAAGCTGGATTCGGGGAGCTCAAAACAAATTCAAGAAGATGGCTCAATTTTAGTGCACTCTCCAGTAAAACTGGCAACAGGGTTGAGAAAGAACAAAGGGAATAGCTTGTATTCTCCACTGGTTTCTGTGGATAAATGGGGCTCAAAAATTTCAATAGGATTTGCAGCACCTTCTAGTGGAGAAGAAGCATTCAAGGCTATATAATCATGGTCACCTAAATCTGGTGAGACATTTGATGGATTCTTCAGATTATCCAAAAGGAGGTCATTAGAATCTTGCAGTCTTTCTCCCAAGTCATTTATCGGCATCTCATCTAACAAGGAAAGCGGGAGATTTTTCATGTATTGTACCACCTGCTTGTCTGTGGAAAGACAGTGATTTGTTATACATGATGTGGGAGGAGAGAAGTAAGAAAAAGTATAGTTCACAAGTTTTATGCTGCTAAATGCATCACAGCACAAGATTAGGGTTGTCTCCTCACTCTTACAAGTTACACTCTCCAAGCCGGTTATAGGAGAGGCATCTTACACTCACCTCTGGTCTTAGAAGCTAATATCAGCCTTCCATAATATACTCATTATTTCGATCTTTTTGATGCTTCTATAGAAGAGTAAAGATCTGTGATATAACTATGTCAAATCTGGTTTTGGATTTAAGAATAGCACTAACTACTAGAATATAGATCTTTGTAGGATGTACTTCTCATAAAAATCTAAGGCTGACTGTTGGGGACTAGACTTAGTAAAGAACAAAGGAGTTACTTTCTGAGAAACAACTTCTTTTGGATGTCATGTAAAAAACCCAAATTCTACAGCACATCCCTTTAGTGATTTTCTTTTCATGACTTTTGTCTTAAAATCAGAGACATCATAATATATTCTCCCGTAAGTTTATATAGTAGTTCTCAGGGCTCTTTCATATATTATTTAATATTCACAAGAACCCATAAAGCAAGAAAAGCAGTTATTATTATCCTTAGTTTTACATAAGATTACATTTGGGTTCAAAGAGATAAAATGACTTGTCCAGGGTCATCTGGATAGTAAGTTGTGGAGCTGGGAGTAGGACATAAGTCTTCTAATCCCTCTACAAATATACTTTTATACCTTTTTTTCCATTGGCTTCAAGTGGAATTATCTTTTCTTCTTCATTTTTCATTAAACTTAGGCACTATATAGAAAGAGAAAACACTGGTATCTTTATCAGCCAATCATTCTTAGAGATGAATGTAAATAATTTAGGTAAAAAAAATCTCTTGAGAGATTAACAAAACTGAGGGAAGAATGTTTCTGTTTATTTTATTTTCTAAAGGTTATAGTTTTCTTTACTAACTTCACTTTAGATAAGAGGGAGAAAATCAATTGATAGTGCAGTGAAAGCCAACTGTACAATGTGGGTCCAGTTGTCATTCAACTTGAACTAATATTGACCAATATTTATCTGCCAAGACAGAAGCAAGTGTAGTAAATATTAGATTTAAACCTGAGTGCGTGAACCTGAATGATGGGACTCATCAAGCATGCCTAGTCTGTCTGGCAGAAAGAAAAAAACACTTCTTTCAAAGAATCTTAGCTAAATAATATATCAAGAATCAGTGCCTATCAGGGTCTAATCCCATTCATTACTTATTGGTCAATGACAAAAAAAAATGGTCCCATCTGGAGATCTTTCTCACCTGGAGAAAACAGTTATGGGAAAGTAGACGGGTTTTATTTTTTTGTCTTAAAATGGCAATAGCAATAATAAGCTGTTATTCCAATTATTTTATTATTATGTTATTATTATTTATAAGCTCAGAGAAAGAAACCTATAAGAATAGTTTGAAAGGCAATTATATGCTAGAAATTAGACATCCTTGCTATTCACAGGAGATTGAGGAAGAGCTTAAAAAAGGCAATTCTAAAAAGCAGATGCCTTGTTCTTTTTGGTCTTCTTACAATTTCTGTCATAATTATGGCCATTTACTACTTCAGTCCAGTCAAAATGCATGATTTCTTTGTCCATCTAAAATCTGGTTACTAATGCAATATTTATACAGTAGTGCATTTAATATTTAGATACTTATCCGTGCCACAGTCTGAAATGTATATATTCTCCGTTTAACAAATGTTCTGATTAAAATGTCACCAATAGCCACAAACTTATGGTAAAAAGAAAAGATGGAGTGAAATACCCTAAGATTGTGGACCCCAATCCCCAGGCCAAGGATCAATACTGGTCCATGGTCTGTTAGGAACCAGGCCACACAGCAGGAGGTGAGTGGCTGGTAAGCCAGTGAAGCTTCATCTGTATTTATAACTGCTCCCCATAGCTCACATCACTGCATAAACTCCACCTCCTGTCAGATCAGCAGTGGCATTCGATTCTCATAGGAGCACAAACCCTACTGTAAACTGCACATGCGAGGGATCTAGGTTGCGGCTCCTGATGAGAATCTAATGCCTGATGATCTGAGGTGGAGCTGAGGCTGTGATGCCAGCCCTGGGGAGCAGCTGCAAGTAAAGAGTATCATTAGCAGAGAGGTTTGACTGTACAATAAATGTAATGCATCTGAATCATCCTGAAACCATTCCCCACCCCCCTCATCTGTGGAAAACTTGTCTTCCATGAAACGGGTCCCTGGTGCCAAAAGATTGGGGACCACTGCCCTAGGATATAAAATAATGTTAAAGAAAACCAAGCAGGTGGGTAATGTGGTAATACTAATGATTAATACACTCATATTTTTGGCTGACTGACAAGTCTTTTAAAATACTCCCTTAAATACTCTTCACAGTCCCCTTGGCCACAAGAGGCAAGTTCTCAAGAAAGTTCTGTTATTCAACATAGTAACTAAAGTAAAAGCCCACTGAATTGAACATATATTTCAGTTTGTTATCATATAGACAGGGATAGAATGAAATTCCTCTTTCTATAATTTACAAAGAAAGCAATCGCCAAGAAAAACAACAGTTTATTTAAGAAAAGAACTTGTCAACTATTTTATAAGAAGCCATTTGCAAATGTTTGAAGAAATAATTTCTACTTCAATGTGTCTCTGATGTATCTTACAAGATACACCAGATTAGCTCCAGTGTATCTTATGTATACACCAAAATAATAAAATATTAAAAAAATCTTACTGATTAAGATTGAACTTTTCTGTAATTAGTCAACATTAAGGCAGAGGAGAAAAATCATGAGTAAGGTAGTGGGGAGATATAGATGGTATACCTTAAGCAATCCTACTTCATTTACTTAACTGAAAAGTTTTTTCTGCTAATAACCTGCTATCAAGGCAATCTTCATCAGTACAGGCATAATAAATGGCCTTTCAGCTGGGTGGTATATAAAAAGCAATAAAGAATAGTAGATAAATTGATCTTACATCTATTTCTGCTACAACATCCATATTGAGTAAAGTTTCAGTTTCCTTTGTCATAAAAGTTGGAAGTTCAGAATTGACTGGCTGAAAAAAAAAAAAAGGAAAGAATTATAATAAAGAAGGTCCTCTAAATACAACTTAAATTCTAAACCTCTAGTTACCAAGGGAGGAAAGGCTCTTACACAATAGTCAGAGATAATGTGACAAGAAGAGGAACTTTGGATACATGAAAAATCATTATTATATTAAAACATCACAATTCTGCACAATGGCTAATTTTATATTGACATTTTTTAAGTGATTAGAGCAAGGGAAAACACTGCACAATAAACAAATTGCAATATTTCAACAGGGAAGAGAGAGAACAACTTCTTCATTTTCAGTTCACAAAACCAAGACAGAAAAGCCATATACACTAAATTGGTGGAAAAGCCAAGGTAAAATTCAAGTATTCTTGAATCCCAGGCCTAATCTTATCCTCAGTGCCAGTCGTCATATATCATTCTTCTTTTGGAATAATCCACATAAATGTAGTAGTCTCAAAAGTGAATTGATAGGCTTACCTCACTGACATGATCAGAGTCATAATTCATTTTCTTTCTAGATAGCAATGACTTTAGCTCCACCAGATTAGCTTCAATAGAGTGCATGTGCATCTCATCCCTTAAATGAAAAATGGAGAAGTGGGGAATCAACAAGCTCTGCTGCCAAGCAGGGTGAACATGGATGCAAAAAATGGTAAATGAGCTGCCGGGGGACAATCTTTGAGAAAATAACACAAACATAATAAATTTCACAGATTATAGCAGATCCTTGACCAAGAAACAATAAACCATATAGCATTTTCCAGTTAGAGATATTTTACTTCCAGACTATAAAGCCTTCTGCTATTCAGAAGATTTCAGTACATAATTCACTGGTTATGATTTAGCCAGAGTGGCCTGCATCCAAGTAACATGCCAGAGTTTTCAATCTGAAGAGGCCCAGAAAAGAAGGGTGGAGAAAAAAACACATTAGTTTGTTTGCTAGGAATCCTGAATAGGAAGTACCCTTTGACTCAGGAAAGCTTTTAGCCCACAGGATGCCTTTTTACCCAGGTGATTCCAGTTACAAATTATAAATCACTTCACTATCCTCAATTAGAAAAGAGTGAGATATGAGGTACTGCAAAATGTAACTAGCTAATCCAAATGATCATTAGGGTTCTTCCATCTATGAGATTCTATATACTTGCAACCTAGGCTTTGCAATTACTATATTCCTCCCAATGAACAACACTCAGTCTGAATCTCATCAATAGATGAGAGTCACAGACTTCAGGGAGTGGGACAGTTGTCAGTGCACAAAAACTTGTATATTTTGACTTTATAGTACAGCTCTTGACTGCATTTTATGGTGCCATTCATTAGGAAAAGCAGGTTCTCTGAGGACCCCTTATGATATTACTGTCAACTATTATTACTTAATCTGATTTCAAGAGCCCCAAATACCAGTAAATTGTTATAAGTCATTAACACAGGGAGTCTTTGGTCTTCCCCGTTGGTGTTTTTGTTTGTTTGTTTGTTTATTTTTTGAGACAGAGTCTCACTCTGTTGCCCAGACTAGAGTGCCGTGGCATCAGCCTAGTTCAGAGCAACCTCAAACTCCTGGGCTCAAGCGATCCTCCTGCCACAGCCTCCCGAGTAGCTGGGACTACAGGCATGCGCCACCATGCCAGGCTATATATATTTGTCCAGGTAATTTCTTTCTATTTTTTTAGTAGAGATGGGGTCTTGCTGTTGCTCAGGCTGGGATTACAGGCGTGAGCCACTCCACCCGGCCCATAGCTTTCTCAGTGTAGCAGAACTTGAACTCAGCTTTGGTGACCAACTCAGGCATTTAGTGTTAAAGCTACTCAGAATAATCATTTCAGTTCACAGAGTTTCCATGATCAGATAAGGCTGTGAGATCCAGTGCCCTGAAGAATGATTATTTCATTGCTTAGAATAGTTCTGAAGTTTGAGATCAGGCTGAGCAAGCTCACAGGGCCCCCTTTTAGGTATATTTTTCAGAAGACTTCTATGTGAAAAGGTCTATCAAGGCCTACACCTGACCTTTTTCTCTCTGGAATTGGACAATAAATGAGGGTCAGTAGTAGGGAATAATACAAATATAAAATGATAAAGCATGTAAACAGACAAATGTAAGCCACTGCTGATGAAGGTGAAACTCAGACAGACACCCTTCCCCCACAACATGACACTCAGCATTTTCATGGGTAGAGATTTGCTGATGATAGTGCCTTTCTGGCTCCAATTTAGTAGTATTTCTGCTGAAGCACACACAACCTCCTAGTTTCAGGAAGTAAAGAAATCTCTTTTTTTGCCTGTGCCAAGCAGGTGGTTTTAACCTACTTATAGAGCTAATTTCAGATATAAGATGGAGGAGGAATTTACACTACAAATATCTGGCTTTCATTTTCAGAAGGTCACAAAGGGGGAAACCCTAAATATATTACCAAAAAGTGCATTTGTGGTATATACGAAACAACAATGTTTGGGAGGGGAGGTGCAAGGAAAATGTTTCCTTAATCACGTCTTGTTCCTCTCACCATAATATGACACTTCGGAATCACAGGTAATTTTCTAACCTCAGAAGAATATGCCTAAAAATCAACATCCAGATTTTGTCAGAAACACAAGCCATACATGAGAGTTAAGTTCCCAGTATGAGGCAGTGATTGTAATTTTGTACTTCTCTCAAAAAATGTCTGATTGGTTAAGATTTCAAAGTGATTGTAGACTCAATGTTCAACTGTACATCCATGAGTGTAGCAGAGAATTATGCTACCTATCAGCTAGATTTGAGAGCCACCAGCTGTATACTTGGATTTTCAAGTCCCTAGCACCATTCTAAATCATGTTTCTGGGCTTCTTAGAAAGGAAAGTGAAAGAATGGGCAGTGGTACCTTTCGAAGTCTCTATATGCTCTTGTTAATATAACCTTGACTTTTCTCAGGGATATATCCAAAGTGATTCCCAGACTATGATAAAATTAAAAAAATAAACATTTTCTTCAAAAACATGTGTAGGACTCCCTAGGTTACAGAAGGAAAAAATTCTATACCTGTTCAATATAGTATCACATTGAGTATCTGACTTGTCTTCAGTCAAGATTGGATCATTGACTTGAGAAGGAGAAGACACTAACTCCAAAGAAATATTTTTAGTTTCCTGTCCAAATGATTCCATGGTCATTAGTCCTTGGAAATCTGGTATAACCAAATCCAAATCAATGTCCAGTGAATCTTCACCCATAGGTACATCCTGAATTGGCATTTCAGGTTCTTTTCTGAGAAATAATCAACACAGAAAAATATTAATCCAATGTGTTGCAAGAACTCAAATTATATGGGCTGTAGTATATCCATTAGTTACATAGTATCAGCAGATTTGCAATATTTAGGCCAAATAACCAATAATGTGCCAACAAACCCTCATTTCATTTTATTTACATATCATATGATGCAATGTCCAAACATTCTGACAGACCAACCATTCAATTACCTTAATTTAATGAAAAAATAAAGACTTACCATAGCCAGAATGGCTCTTATAAAAAGGACAGACAGTAACAAGTGTTAGTGAGGATATAGAAAAATAGGAACCCCTACACATTGCTGGAGGAAATGAATGTGAAATGGGATATCCACTTTGGAAAAGAGTTTGGCAGTTTCTTAAAAAGTAAACATAATTTTCCATTCAATTCTATTCATTTCCAGAAATTCTATTTTAAGGTATCTACTCAAGAGAAATGCACAGACATTTCTGCATGAAGATTTTCCTGTGAATGTTCAGGGCAGCATAATTCATAATAGCAAAATAAATTTGGAAAACAACCAAAGTGCCCATTAACTGATGAACAAGTAAAATGTGGTATATCTATACAATGGTATATTATTTGGCAATAAAAAGAATTGAAGTACTGATCCATGCTATGCCATAGATGAACTTGAAAACACTATGCTAAGTGAAATAAGCCAGACACAAAAGACTACTTATTGCATTATTCCATTTATATGAAATGTCTAGAATAGTCAAATCTACAGAGACAGAAAGCAGATTAGTTAATGACCCTTATGGGGTGATGAAAATGTTCTAATATGGTATTATGGTTAAGGTTGCACAGCTTAGTAAACCCACTCCAAATCATTGAATTCTACACTTAAAATGAACAAATTTTATTATATATAAATTATATCTCCATAAAGTTTATTTATACACATATAAATTTTAGCTATATGTACGTATGTGTATATATGTATCTATCATACATATATTGTTTATCTATTTATTCATATATAGAGAGTTTAGTTTACTATATAGAGTTTATATATAGTTAAGTTTACTATGTAGCATGTATCAAATCACATAGCAATGCAATGGCACCACCAAATTCAGCACTCACAGCTCACAGCCCAAGTTTCCATTCTGTGGTTTAGGCACTAAATTCTGCCATCTCAATTTTGACTAGGAAAGAAAGAGAATGGGACAACTATTTGCTTTTCATTTAAAGGAGGAAGTCTAAAGAGAAGAAAAATGATTCCTGGATTGTTTCTTATATTGTTGACCACTTTATATAGGGCTCTGAAAAGAAGGATGAAAAGTTAAACTATAGCTTAGGAACTAGCATACAGATATAGTAAAGGTTAATTCTTTCATAGGATTAAATGTTTGTTTTCAATAGGATAATTAAGTTAGATAAGTAACCATATTTTTCCATATTCTTTTTTATTTGATATTTTAGAAAACTTTGCTAATTTAGCTTCTAAGGTTCAATGTATGGATGTTCAAATATCATTTATTACTATATTTTATAATAATCTATTGTGTATTTTGAAATACTTAGAAGAGAATAATTTAAATGTTTAAATATTTAACATGATGGAAATCCCAATTACACAGATTTGATCTTTACAAATTATATTAATTTATTAAATTATCACATGTTCTCTGAAAATAAGTTCATCTATTATATATCAATAAAAATAAAATTAAAAAAATAAACATTTATTATAACATTCTAGATGCCATAAAATCTGCAATCTAGTAACTTCTTTTTCTCTGGTCTCTAGGAAAGCTTTTCTGGTACACTGTTTTTCAGATGTCATTAGTATATTCTGTGCCTCTGTGCACCTGGTGGATGTGACAAAAAGAATGTATACATGCCACTCTTCTGGGCCAACACCCAGCTAGATGGTTTTCATGCTGTTGGCTTTAGCAGGCAATACCTGTGCAAAAATTTAATTTAGGAACTGATGTTCTATATTCATATCTCCTCCTCCAAAAATATGACCTTCCCATTGTCTTGTTCCTTAAACACCTCAGTTCCCAGACACAATTGACTCAATGGCTTGCTTTTCTTTGTAATACCCAGGCTGTAGGATAGTCCTACTCATATCTGTAATGATCTTTCCCTCAAATACCTGATCTTTCCCAAAAGATTCTAGCCCCTCAGACTTCCTTTGAATACTCAAAAGATATTTAATAATATTTTGCTTCCTAAATAATCTTCCACTAGAAGCCTACTACTCTTGCAGTCTCCTCAGATATCCTCTTCCAAAATTCTCATCCTCCCCCACCAGACTTAATGATTCTCCACCTGGCCCTTCCTTCTACGCAAAAAGGCATCACTGTAACCTAGATGTTTAAACAAAGAACCCTCCTCAAAAGACATCTAGGTATCTGCCATCTATACAACACACTTAAAATGATATTTATATTTATTTTCCTATTTTCTTTAGCATGTACAGAAAATCCCAAATTTGCAGATTTATTTTTCCCAAATAGGTACTCCATATTTTATATTAAATTTATAGTATTTGCTAATTATGTTTTTGGTTTTTGTGAATGGAATATCTTTTTTTCCACCAAAATTTTTAACTGGCTATTGCTGACATATAGCAAAGGTCTTGATTTTAAACATATATTTTATATTAAGTAAGCTATATTTTAATATTTTATTTCAATAATCATACTACTGTATATATTTTTAACGGGCCAGCTGTCATTGCTTTGTTCTGCAGTTACAGGTCAAACTATTAACAGCTATTTTGCAAGTGTTTTTTGGTTGTCATAAGGGGAATTAGGCAAGAATATTGTTGGCAGTAATATTACCACTACTAAGAAATGCATGCATAATATATTGACAAGGTGTCAGGAGTATTATTTTTGTAACTGAAGAAAATCACTATTTGTTCACTTGAAAATAAAATATGCCCCATGTTTTAACTTAGCTGCAGTCCACATTGTATTTCATTACCAACACACTGCCAACAAGGTTGCTTACCCATCATCTCCACTTGCTTGGTCCACAGATGAAACTAAGTTTTTGGATTCATCTTTCAAAGTAGATAAGACACTGTCAAGGAGACTTTTATTTCTGTCTTCAAGAAGTGCATAACCATTTTTTAGAATCTCCATCTAAATAGGAGGGTTAGAGGAAATGACAGTTGATTATGTACTTCTTTATACATCTGGTCTTTCTCAGATCATATTTGATGTAATTTCCATTGAGAATATTTAACAATGGTATAAGAAATAATAGCAACAAGCACTGGAAATTTTATTGATGGTAAATGTTCTTCCTTTACCCACCCACCACCATCTTATCTCAGAATCGTACAGCTTCTTTCCTCTTCTCCTCTGGAATATGGAAATACTGACGAGCACATTTGGAAGTGGAAGCTCCAGATGTGACGGGTAATGACCTGTAATGAGACCCACATTTCGTTCCTGTTAGCTACCTGAATGTTGCAATTGTTAGACAACTCTGTTGTATGGAACTTAAATTTTAATCATTGTTTGTCATAATGGTTTCCATTAGACATAAATGTTTTAGGATCTCAAGCATCAAAGTGGGAAAAGGAAAAGATCCAGAACACTTAAAGGGGAGGTAGTTTACAAGAATTAGTGACAATTTGGAATTGTCCCTATATGTTAGCCTCCTTCTGAGTGTTTACATTAAGACATCCTAAAAGTTTGGATTTTTAAAGATACATTGGGTCAGATAAAACTAAAGCAAAGACCAAAAGGGGAAATCAGGTTCCTGGGAATAATGCCTGATTCCAGGGCTGGGGCAGGCAAAGTACAAATTGAGCCTGAGACATTCCTATTATGTCAAAAGTAAATGCTCAAAGGTAATGAGGATATATCTGTCAATGGATATATTCTAGTAATGGATTATAATCCTTTGAGTAAAATAAGAATCCATGATTCTATAGAGATACAAATAAATGAATAAATAAATAGGAAAAGCTCTTCATTATAGTAGAATGCAAAACAAAAACTTAGAAGAATGATGTAACTAGAAAATCACTGTTGTATAACCATTATAGTAATACACAATTTGGTTAAGTCATCAACGGATGCTAAAACGGATACAATTTTGAAGAACAGAACATTTATATAGACTCAAAGTATCTCACCACTATTTACTTATTAATTGCAGAAAATAAGGTAGTAGCTTAAGAGTGGAGAAACTTGGGGGACACAACCTTAAATAAGTGATCAAAGTTAACATCACCAATAATGAGGCAAACTGACATCAAGTGCCTCTGATATGATGCACCAAGAAGAACACAGTATCACTTCTTGGAATTACTCCCCAATATATTAATACACAGTCTGATTCTACTCATGACACTATACCAAATTCAAAGAGAGGGGAATTCTCCAAAAATTACTGGCCTGTACTCTTCAAAAATGTTGAGGTCAAGAATAACAAAGACAGGCTGAGGAACTGTTCCATATTAAAATAGAATTAAGAGACATAAGAACTAAATGCAATGTATAATCCTGGGTTGAATCATAGATTGGGAACAAGAGAGAAGAATGTGGCTATAAAGAACATTAGGAAGGCAACTGGTGACATTTAAGTATGGACAAGGGATTCACAAATAGCATTAAATCAATGCTAAGCTTCCTAATGTTGCTATTGTACAGTAGTTATATAAGAAAATGCCATTGTTCTTAGGAAATACACATTAAAGTATTTAGGGGTAAATGGGTACCATGTCTGCAATGTACTCTCAAAAGGTTGAGAAAAAAATGTGTGTACGTGTGTACGTGTGTATGTGTGTGTGTGTATGTGGATGTGTGTTTAGAAAGAGGGATGAGAGGAGGAGAAGGGGAAAGTGAGAACACAATAAATAAAACAAAACATAAAGTTGGAAAATCTTGGGTAAAAGCTATATAGGAATGCTTCATAGCATTCTCATAAATTTTCTATTTTAATTACATCAAAATTTAAAATTACCAAGAAAACCAAAGATGGGAAGAAGGGCCCACTCAAATGGGAGGCAAATCTCTACAGTCAATGAGCCCATGGCTTTGAATTTTGACTCTATCATGTATTAACTATCTGACTTTGTACAACGGAGTTAAACTTGCCATGACTCAGTTTCCTCATCTGTGAAATGAGAATAATATTAGAGCCTATCTAACAGCATTTTTCTGAGAATTAAATGAGATAATTCATGCAAAGCACTAAGCATGGTATCCAGCACACTGTAAGTACTCAATAAACAGTAGTCATTAATTATAACCCATTCATTCTAAATTGCTTAATCAGGTCAGATGAATCAATCCAATAATTTAGGGCTTTGTGCCTGAAATACAACTAGATGGTATCCTACAATAAAATATCGTACAATTAGATACTCTGTATTCTAAGGACTTACACAAAATGCTACAAGCTTTGGTTGCAGAAGACCAGTTAGATAGAGCTGGGAACTCCTAGTCATATCAGGAATCGTAGGTGAAATGGTTTTGTTTACTCTGGGAAGGCTGATCTCTTGTGTATAAAACCTCTAGGGAAGTTCCATGGCTCCTTAACAAGGTGGAGTTAAGGAGTATCTTCCGATTCTAGGAGAATCTCAGGGGAGGTGTAAGAAGGGATCCAGTTCTACTTGGCTCCTTATAGCTGACTAGAAGCCTTAGAATGACTGGTACTTTATAGGCCTACATTAATTTCAGTAACACTCCTAGAATCACCTTAAGGATACAGACAGAAGCAACCTACAACCAAGAGCCAGCAACTAGGGTGCCCCTATTATGATCATGTCAGGGCAAGTTAGCTTGCTATCATTTTAAAAGTATGAAACCAAAAGGAAAAATACTATATACTGAACTGATGATGATATGTTTGGCTTTCCTTGGTAGGTATACTTTTTATTCTGACACAAAATTTATACATGCTGATTAACTGTTCTGATGTAAAAGATAAGAATAAGCTTGGAAAGAGAAAAATTATGAGACATGAGAGTAAAGGGGACTTCTGTAAACAAGAAAGTACTTGTAGTCAATAAATTCACCTTTTTCTATTCATGTCTACTATATAGTTTCCATTCATCAAACTCAAGATAAACTGGAGAATCTGAAAAATAATAGAATATTGTAATTAGGATATGACACTCAATATTTAGAAAAAACAATATTAAAGAAGAAGGTTTTAACATCCAACTAGGCACAACTAAAAATTTGTATATTTTCTTTTGGCCTTCACGGGACTTTACATTATAATTATTTTATATCTAAGCCAAAAATGTCATAGAATAGCTCTAATCAGTAATTTACAGAAAAGATTACAGAAAAGAATGGATAAGAACGCTTCAAAAGACTGAACCGGTACCTGTGTTAACAGCTGCTGTTGCTCGCAGTACTTCTGTCTTAGATTTGTCATTTCAATCCAAAGGGTTGCATATTCCCTGAAATATTAACAGATTCCCCAAATGAATCAGGACAGAAAGATGTCTATAGAATTTTGAAGATACAATATCTAATAATATATTGAACTTAGTTAATAGCATTCACAATTTTCTTCATGAGGATTATCCCTCTATTACTCTAACGAAATATTTCAAGCTTAAAATTTAACTACTTTCAATTTTTGTCAGTCAATAGTCCATACAAGTATCACATTAACATTACTGAAAGCACAGACTCCCTTAATACTCTTCTAGACTTGAGAATATGAGAATCATTGCAAACCAAGATAATACTAATGCAGATTCCTTACTAACAATCACAGGGGTAGAAAAATACTTCATAAAAAGCTGGAAAAACAACTAAATCTTGAGGCCAGTGAGTTTACACCAATATCTGTACTTCCACTGAATGATATGACAAGAGACACCTTGTGTCAGATTAAGAGACCACAACTTTCTTATATAGAATTAGTTTTAAATGTGATCTAACATAATCCAAGTAAAATATTTGGCTAGAAGAAACCTCAAAAGGCCATCTAGTTAACTACTGACCAACAGATTTTGGTCTGGTTTACCTATAAAACCAGCCAGAACTCACTGAAGCATCATCAACCACATGATATATAATATATGTATGTTAGGGTTAACATTGAACAACAGGCTGATATCCAAAATTAACATGAAGTGTTGGCTCATGGTCAATGTAAATGAAAACCTTGGCTTATATTCAATATTGATGAAAATGGAAGAAAAATACTTCCATTTCCCTCATTCCTTTTGTCTTTTCTCCCTCACTGGATGTGAAAAGTTTAATTTGCTAAGTCAACTGCAAAAGACAGAATCATGAAATTAAGAGTACATTTCCACTTCACTGAAAGATTGGCAGAGGAGTTCAAGTTTAATTTGAACACTGATGAACTTTTGCTGGCACATACACACACATATCTACTTTAAGGTAAATAATGGGTTAGTAACCTTTTTTCACAGGTATTATTGTGCAACTGTTTAACCATTTAAATTTTGCCTGAACAAAGATCTAGTATTAGAGGCATTGTATGCTATATTATTCACTCTGTGGTTCCTTATAAAGCACTGAAAAACATCTGAAAGTATCCATTTTGTGGAGAAAGTTGAAAAAAAGGCCAGAGAAATAAGTCATAGATTATGCTTGGACTTACCAAGAACTAGCAAATAAGCCAGGAATATAGTTCAGAGTACTTAAATCCAGAACCTATATATTTAACATCTTTTTCTGTTTTTCCAGTTTCAACTGGAAATTGCTATTTGATTACTCATACCTACATGGCTGTCTTGGATGCTGGTAATTTTATTTCTGATTTATACAGTGTTCTCCAGTCAGCCAGAGTTATGATCTGACCCACTGGAACATTAACAGCAGTCCAAACACTAAAGCATTTGATTCAGTGCTGTGGTTTTACTTAAAAGAAGTAAACCTCACTAAAGTGCCATGGAAAACAAGAGTTCAGTTTCTCAACTCAGAAGCAATCATCCTTAAAAACCTTGAGAACAGGCATTGGAAATCTTGATAGATACTCACTTCTTTAGTTCTGCAAATTTGGCATCCATATTGCTCTGCTTCTCTCTCATCTCTTGCACTTCAGCCATCATTCTCTGGAACTCATCAGGGTAGATTCTGACATCCTCAATTTTCATTGTTGGCACCTAAAATGGAAACAGAGTATAATTGGGTTGGTTAGAAATTTCACATACCATCTACTCTCCATTATGGTCACTAATGAAAGGGAAAAGAGGCATGACTAATTTAAAACATTAGACTAAAATTAACAAATGTGCCTCTTTTATAGCACTAGGCAAAGTATGCCTCATATTATATTTATTTCATAATTCTCATCTCTCCCGTTAATTTGAAAGCTTCTGGAATATTATAAATATAGTCTCCCATACCCTTCTTCCCAATTCCCAGAACAATATCTTACACATAGTAGGTAGACTTGCAATAAATATTTACTAAATTCAGCATATATTTTTGAATAAATTTTACATGTTAAGTAAGAACTGTAAGAGGACTGCAAGGATGAATAAGTCAGAGTTTCTATCCCTAAAGAATTTGAAATATCCTATAGGAAGAATAAAATATGTATACAAAGAACTATAATTCAATATTGAAAATATGAAAAAAATTTAGTGGAAGGGGGGAGGAGGGGAAAGGGGAAAGGTATGCACTTACACGGTGGGTGTGGTGCGCACCACCTGGAGGCTGGACACGCTAGAAGCTCTGGCATAGTGGGGTGGGGGAGGGCGGCAGGGGCAAGATATGTAACCCTAACAATATCTGTACCCCCATAATATGAAGTAATAAAAAAAGTAAATTAGGTTCAAGGAAGTAAAATTCTACAACACTTAAAAAAAATTTAGATGTGACTTTGACAGGCAGGGAAGTATATTAATTTAAAAACACAACCTCACACATGTCTCATTCTATTTAGACTTGAGCGCTGACCCTCTCACCCAGCTCTTTCCTGTTGAAAGTGATTATGAGCAGTGTTGAGGAGGAGGCTTTATCTCATGGATAATCTATAATGTGGTTAATTTTCAGAAAAATCCAAAGTAGACTATATAGTTTCATTTTATAGGTCCACTGGAATAGAAGCATGCTGAACTAGGTGTTTTATAAAATGAAGCACCATGAGAAAATTATATAGGTTACAGAATAAAGTCAGAATAAAGTCTGTAACAATGATGTGGTTCCACAAGTGGTGACTAAATAGACTTTAATGATTTGGATCTGCACTGTTTGAGTTTTCCTATAAGATACATTATCATTATATTTAATACATCTTTTAAAATCTTATTCATTAAGAATCTCATGATATATGCACAATAAAAATTTTCATTCAAATAGTTAATATAGATAAGAGAAACAATAAAAATAAAACTTTAGCAGAATGAAGCAACATATCACATTATCAATTACTCTAAATTGAAGCTTTATATTGTAATTACTGTGAATAGCCTGGGTTTAACAAGCAAAGAACTGTAGACTCTAGGTACCTCAAGTTGAAACTTGGGAAATATAAATAGAGACTTCCAACTTGTTTTTACCTGTTGTAAAGGTGTCTGAAGAGTAAGCTGAACTGTCAATGATCCCTCATGGAGTTAACAGATCAAGAGAGAAGGTTAGATATTTAGACATAAAAACATGAATATGAAAAGCTGTATATGATAAATGGCAAATGAGCAGCACAGATAATACATTTTATCAGCATTAAGAAGAGAAAGAAATCACATTTGAAATGAACCAGATGTCTGTTTTGATTCTGTGATAAAAAATGAATTGCTTATCATCTATTTAGTCCAGAACCTGGACTCAAAAAAAAGGAATTGCTTGTCATCTATTTAGTCCAGAACCTGGACCTGGTCATCTCTTTTGTGGATGGCATGTACCATTTCCCAAATGCTCACTAAACCAATGGATGCAAAAGCCAACAAGCCATACAATACTAGAAAAATTATTTGAAATTTTTGTTTTCTTCCATAAGAAAATAGAAGAAAAATCTGGTATCTCTTTTAATATACCACAATTGTCATTTCATTAACTAATGGGATACAAGACCTATTGTTGCCTATGTAGAAGCTTTAAACTCAAATTAGTGGCCAGTTCATACATCTAAATATTAATCTCAATGAAACCAAAGAGATGAAGTGCTAAGTAGACTCAGATACATCTATATTTAGCTCCTTTCTAAATGGGATTGATACTGATTCATCCTAGTTTAGCTTTCTCCTTCATTATTTTATTTCACATAATGGGGAGGGTCATTCCAAGGTCACCACAACTAAAATATAGACCATAATGCTATGATATTATGAAAAAAGTACCATGTGAACCAAGTTTGATCTATTCTAATGGTTCTTAATCATCAGTCTTAGGACCCTTTTACACTCTTAAAACTTTTTAGGAACCCAAAGAGCTTCTGTTTATATGGGTTATATCTATCAATATTTACCATGTTAGAATTTAAAACTGGTAAAATTTTAAATATTTATTAATTTATTTAAATTATAATAATATGCACATTGCATATTAACATTACAATGATGACATTATTGTATATCATGTATCCTTAGGAAAATTCCACTGTAGTCATAAAAGAATGAAGAGTGAAAAAAGCAAATAATGTCTTAGTACTATTATGAAAATAGTTTTGACCTCGCAGGTTCCCTGAAAATGTCTCAAGATCTCAAATCATGCTTTGAGAACCACTGGTCTAAGTGATATTCCAAATCTTTCTGGTTTTGCTTTTGGTCTTGAGCTTCCAGTGTACAGACATCATCTGTATATAAAGTTCATGCAAAATATCAACACACATATCTCATAAGTGAGAAACTTAGTATTTTATATTCTGCCTTGACTTGTAAGAAGCTCTGAGTGTAAGCAGGTAGGTTCAGCAGATATTTTTCTCATTAAGAAAAATATCAAAATAAAGTTATTACTTCATAACTTATCCTAATCTCACGTGACTACTTCCTAAAATGGGCATATATCCCATCTTCATAGTAAAAAGCTACAAAAGTAATAAAACATGCCTTAGGAAGGGTGGTCATAAGTCTTTAAATAAATTGATATCTAAAGGTCATCTTTCTGGAGAACTAGAAAATGTACCTAGCAAATGAGTTTCCAATTGGCAAATTCCAAGTGCCAACACCTTGACCCTTAAGACTTAGAGAGATTGTAAAATGTTTAGATCAAGGAAATACAGGCTATAGCCCAAAATGCTATGAAAAATTGTGTGGCAATAGCTCCCCTACCTTGCGCTTAATATTTTCCAAAAGGCCAGATTCCCCCTTTTTGAAGAATGGATGTTGAAATTCCATAGCTACTTTCTTCACCTGGCCAGTCATTCTGCTATCCAATGTAATCACCTTTCGGAAACCATCTAGCAAAAAAACCAAAAACAAAACAATATAAAGAAAAAGGTAATAAAATAGACTGACAGGAGAGCTAAACTTATCAGAATAAAGAGACAATACTGCAAAATATTTGACTGCTACAAAGTACTGAATTGGTGCATAATAATAGCCTAATTTCAAACTTGGAAACTGAGATATCAATAACTCTTTCTACTGTTTTTACAGAACTTATAAATGATTCTAAGGTACTAATGGGAAAGCATGTACAGTCGAAATCTATATATAATCCTCAAGCCTCAGTTTAACCAATAACTTCAAATTTCTGCAACACCCACTATATCTTGCCCAAGGATTATGAGGTAAGAGAAAAATAAACTGACATGAAGCTTATCTCTTTTTAGTGCTCTGCTCACCTTTTTGGAAAAGACACAAAGGAAGACAGTATGAGAAGGGAGAAGAAACAAAGGGACTTGAAGAGTTAACAAATTAGAGCATTTGCAGCTGAATAATCAAGAAGTGGAGGGATTGCATATGTATGTGTATGTAGTTTTGATGTAAGAAAAAATGCTACAACCACGACTATATAACTAATCCAGAGGAGGCAAAGTAAGAACCAATAAGATATACTTTTTAAGAAAAGCAGAACTGCCACTTTCCAGGTACAATCTGGTGTACTGATTAATAGGGATTTTGGAAAGGATGGCAATGATAGCATAATGAGGTACTTTGAATTATTTGTTGAAACTAGATATGGCTTACCCATCTTGTTCCTTTAAGCTCATGTAGGAATCTAGATTTATGAACACATACAGATTCATAGTTCAGAGAAACTAAGCAAGGAAAGAAGAAAAGTATACTAGTAATTGTTAATCAGAGTGTATGTGTGTGTGTATACAAAAATACTGTTTCTTAAACATTATCACTTAATCATGTGTTAAGAAGTCTAACTTTCCCTATGTGCATCCCCTCAGGAGGCAGTAGTTTCCAAAGATATCTGGAGAGATTCTGTCCTATTCCAGTTCAAGTAGTATTTCTTTTGTTTTTGTAAATGCCCTGATGAAGATGTGAATCACATCCTTTATAGCACCATAGTCTAGCAACAATACTTGGCATAGAAGTCTCATTCTTGGGCTTGAAATACCACTCAAAACTGCTTTTCTGGGTAGCAAAATGAAACTTCTTATTCGATATTTGAAACACAAGTCTGAAGAATTATTAAAATTTATGCTTTTAAATTGTCCTAGCTTTCAGAATTTTATAATTAAAAGATCAGCATAATTTAAGTGATAGAATAATAAACTCCTTCATAGTCTCCACTGTCTAGCATGAGGCATTTAAATGTATCTTGCTAGGGAGAAATCTACAGCTGAATTTAACCAAAGGCAACTTCAACTTTATAATTACTTCCTTTGAAATATTAGACTCTAGGCATTCATATGTCAATTCATTTAAGTAGTGATTATTTTCATTCTGTGGCCTAATTAGTCTCTATTTCCTGGTTAACTTGGAACAATAAATAAAATGTTCTTGCTATGGAAAAATCTGCAAATCAGACTACATTATCTCCATCTGGAAATCCCTCCACTGACTAAACTGGATATGGGAGGAAAACATAATTTTTTTCCTTAATCTTTTTTTAGATGCTGTATCACTGTATCTTTTCCCCTTATTTTTCTTTAGCAGTTTCCCCCTTTTAATCCTTAGCCATGAGCCCCACTATCCTCTATGCACTCATTTGAACTATTAATATCTTGTATACAATATTTTAAACACCATCCCACTACCTAAAAGAGTGAGAAATCCAAGGAGTTCCAGGTTGGAAAATGGCAGAGTAAAGGTGACCTCCTGGCTTCCCGCTCCCAGAGAAACAGGTGTAGAACTTGGCCTGCTATGCACGAAAGGATCACTACCCTGCAAGAACAGCATTGTAGAATAGCAGAGAAACAGTGTGGGGCACACAAAACAGGAAAAAAAGGTGAATGGGAGATAGGATCATGAGGTCTGCAGAATGGGAGAGAAACAATAGAGATTAGAGCATAGGACAACTGTGTTGGCCCGGCCAGCAAGTGAAGTGGGATCAGACCCACGGGAGATCTTCTTGCTTTTCCACTGACCTCCACACCCACACAGACAGGGACCTGCCTGAAGTCGGTGCAAAATCATGACATGAGACATGGGGCTCTGTGGAGCGGGGACAATAGCGGGAAGCATCTTGAACTCCCTAGAGCTCTGTGCCAGGACTGCACTGCGTCGGGGAGGGACTGGCCTGAGCTACCGCTTGAGGGAATTAGGAGACAGGCACCTGGCCTCTGGCAGTCAGCAGGACCAGAACAACGGAGTTGAACACTAAAAAAGGGACTCTATTCTGGAAACTGCTGCGAGTGAATAGGCCCGCTCAGGGTGGGTCAGAAAGAGCAAGAGCTCCTGATGGACAGGTACAAGATTGCTGGAGAGAGACAAAAAACAGACAACGGGCCATCCTGATGACTCAGCTCCCCAATCCAGCACCTGCCAACTCCTGAACAGTCGCCCCCAGTGCTAGCACTCTGCAAGATGGGTGGTCTCCATTTTGGGGGTCCACAACCCAGATGCTGTGGTGCACCATGGTGTTGGGCAGCACCCTTCTCCCAGTCCAGGGACTCTTGAGACAAGCTCCATCATTCCACGACCTATGGTCAACTAGCTAGGACCGTTTTGATAGGTGAATTCTGAATACTTCCCTAGTCATGGGAGGCCAACACCTGTAGGACTTACAGACACTGGGGCACTGGGTGGACTGGGGCACCACCCCTTTCCCTAGTAAGCAACTTTCACACTGAAAGTGGTAGGCTCCACTCTGGGAGGTAGAGAGAGACAAGAAAAGCCACTTTCCCTGTGCAACTGGTGTGAATCTGTGGGGCCTTGGCACAGATCAATAGTTGACAGCCCAGTGACTCTGCTTATCAAAGCAGCTTAGGTCATCCAGTAGGATTATAACTCCGGGACTGGATTTCCACGTCCTGTAGGCTGCCAACAGCAGGATTCGCAGTCAGGGAAGGAATATACTAGCAAGAGGCCACTGCAGGTACACCAAGTAACCCCTTTCATCAGGAGCAGTCTCCCAACTGTGGTAGAAGAAACCTAAACAATATATTAGTGGCTCTCCCAGCAGCAGATCAAGCAACCATAGAAGTACACGCATCCAGGCTGGTAGGCAGCAGCTGCAATCTGTCTTGCACCTAAACAACACCTACTGGTGCAGAATCCAAACAGGGCATGTCATTTTCCAAATGAAAATCGAAAGGTGGGAAGCAACAGTTGATCCAGATGGAAAGGAATCAGCAAAAGAACTCTGGAAATATGAAGAATCAAACAGAAAGCACAGCCCCAAAGGGGAACACCAGCTCTCTAGCAATAGACATTAACCACATTCAAAACACTAAAATGACAGAAGAATTTTGAACATGGATTGTAAGAAAACTCAGTGATATGCAAGACAAAATGGATAACCAACACAAAGAAACCACACACAAAAAAATTCATGTCTTGGAAGAGAAATTCACTAAAGAAATTCGAACTCTTAAAGAAAATTCAAACCGAACTCCTGGACATGAAGAATTTATTCAAGAAACTGCAAAACACAGTGGAAAGCCTCAAGAACAGGGTAGATCAAACAGAAGAAAGAATCTCAAGGAATGAAGATAAAATCATTCAATTAAATAAGTCAGTCACAGAGATACAGCAGAGAAATGAGAAAAGAGCAAAGCCTACAAGAAATGTGGGACTAAGTGAAGAAGCCTAACGTGAGAGTTATAGGCATCCCTGAGGGTATAAAGAAAATACACACTGTTCCATAAGCTATTTGAGGATATAATAGAGGAAAATTTCCCAGGCCTTGCTAAAAATCTAGATATCCAGGTACAAGAAGCTCAAAGGACTCTGAAGACACCATGACACACAGTCATCAGACTGACCAAAATAACCACCAAAGAGGCCCTCCTATGAGCTGTTAGGCAAAAGAAGCAGGTAACATATGAGGAAAGTCCATCCAAATAATGCCAGACTTCTCAACTGAAACTTTACAAGCAAGAAGAGACAGAAGCACCATTTTCACTCTTCTCAAACAGAATAATGCCCAGCCTAGAATCTTGTACCCTGCAAAACTAAGTTTTATATATGATGGAGAAATAAAGACATTCTCAGATAAGAAAAGACTGAGGGAATTCACCAAGACAAGACCTGCCCTCCAGGAAGTACTCAAAACAGTGTTACACACAGATTAGCACAATAAACACTGACGAATGTAAAATCACCCAAAAGCTAAAGGTCAATGCCAGACAGCACAATGGCTCAAGGGAGAAAACATGTACTCACCATCAAATTGGTTTAACTGATCAACACTTAAGTGCATATATAGGAATAACATTCATCAGGTGTCGGACAGATGGGAAGGGGTAGGATGGGATGCGTATATTCACACATAATGCATGCGATGTCACCATCTGGGGGATGGACACACTGGAAACTCTGACTCGGGTAGGGCAAGGGCAATATATGTAACATAAACATTTGTACCCATAATATGCTGAAAGAAAAAAGAAAAAAAGTGAGAAATCCTCTCTGAATTCTGAATTCTTGAATCATTTCCAATTTATATTTTACCACAGAAAAGGAAGAGCTATTACGGTCCCCTCTCTTTTGTGCCCTACCTTTCCAAACGGTATTTAGGACCCTCTTGAGTAGATCATACACTTTTGTCCTTATGTTTATATGCATAGCCTATCTGAGTGTATTTCCCTGACAATATACCAAAGGGAATTTTCTAGATAATATCTGTCCTCCATGGCAGGGTATATTATGCATAGTACAGAGACTTTGCTGGTACTCACTAAAACTAATAATAAATTTAAAAGGAATTTTCTAGCATAAGAAATTTATCATTTGCTTCAAAATGAGAACTGCTCCTGAGGTTTTCTTGGATTATGAGTTAAAGGCAAAAAAGAAAATTTAGGTAAACAGAGCCTGACATCCCCACCTTTTGGGGGAAAAGGAGTTAAACATGAGCTTCTGTAAGTCCATGCCTAATAGGGGGAAGTTGCCCAGCTATATTTTAAAAGGGTACATATCTCTTTCAGGAATCACTTTCTGAAGCATTATTTATCCCTCATGTGGTGAAAGGTTTAATTTTCATTTGCAATTCCTGCATCCTCTATCAGAGAAGATAGCATAAAAGTTAATCACGTGGGGTTCTTACTTTTTCTTTTTGAAGACCCATATTTTTAAAAGAAAGATATATTTCCTTTTGACTTAGAATACATTCACAATAAATAAGGTAACATATGCCCCCATGGCCACTCTACTACAAAACTTTGAATTTTACGATCATTCATCCATTTAACAAACATTTATTGAACACTTATTCCATGTCAGGTAGTTGGCTAGTCTCTGTGGAGGATACACAGGTCAATAAGATGAAATTCCTCTCTGTAAGAAGCTAACAGTCTAGCAGACTGTTAGCAAAGACAAACACTTCACACCTATTGTAACACAACATGGTTGACCACTAGAGTAATGGCATGGACAAGTGCTTGGGAGCATGTAGGAAGGAACAATAAATTATGCTTGGGATGGATTGAGATATATCGGATATCTTCACAATGAAGTCCACAAAATAGGAAAATCCAGACTTGTCTTTCTGGAAAATTTGTCACAGGAATAAAAATACTCTCATAGAATTTCACAGGAAGAAAATCTGCACCAGAACATTTGATGAATCCAATGTATGTTGCTTTAATTTAAAACCCCTGCTAACATGTTGACATAGAAAATGAAAAAAAAAAAAACTAAAGAAAAGGCTAAGTCATTTGAGAGTGGATGATCATTAGCAGATGTAGTTTTCCTTCACATCTGTAAGTTCTCAAGGAACAAAACTGTGAGAAATAAATGCTGCTGTTGACCAAAGACATTTCTAAAGCAGAGATTTTTGAATCTTATAATGGCTGACAAATAATTTGTCTATAAAATAAATAATTTAATAAATAGGGAATGTGTGATAATAATTGTTATAAAAACACTATATCCTATCTAGACTCTTCAAAGTTTCTGCTTTAGAGATGAATAAGACACCCCACTCATCTCCCTCCTCTAAGAATTCACAACCTTTTAAAGGAGACATACATATACAAATAACTATAATAAAAAGTCAGGCTATATGGGGTGGGGGGGTGTGGAGTGACTGATATTCAGCACTGAGCTTCTTTTTGGGGTGACAGAAATACTCTAAAACTGTATTGAAATTATGGTTGCACAACTCTGGACATACTAAAAATCATGGATTTGACCACTTTAAATGGATGAATTGTACAGAAGGTGAGCTATATCTCAGTAAAAACAATCAGCCTATGATAAGCACTGTGTTTGTCTTATGAATGAAGTACTGTGGGCATATGTGAAAAAAAATTAATTCTGACTGGGAGCATATGAGATTTCTTGAAGGAAGTAATATTTGAGCTGGAACTTGAAAGATGAACAGAACTATGCTAAGCAGATACTAGGAATGTAGTGGGGGATGAAGGGTATTTCAGGCAAAACAAATGACATGAAAAAAGGCACTGATACAAGAAAGTCCATGATTGTGCAACAACACAATGTGTGGTCCATGGACGGGTGCTGGTCTGCAAACCATTTGTTATTGGTTGGTGATGATATAAGTGTAAAAACTGAGAGAAGTCCTTTAGAAACTTTTACAGTAATTTGTCATTGCTGTGAGCGAACATCATCACTTTTTTTAAAAATCAATTTTTATTGTATTTTTACAAAGTACAGGTTTGTCATAGTGCAGTGATGTCATCATAGCTTACTGCAACCTCAAAATCCTGAACTCAAGCAATCCTTTCACCTCAGCCTCTTGAGTAGATGGGACTACAGGCACATGCCACCATGCTTGGCTAATTTTTCTATTTTTTGTAGATACTGGGTCTCATTATGTTCCCCAGACTGGTCTCAAATTCCTGGACTCAAGCAATACTCCCACCTCTGCCTCTCCAGGTGCTGGGATCACAGGTGTGAAGCACCATGCTCAGCCTTGGAAATTGTTTTAAAAAGTGTCCTTTTCTGTAGTTTGAGAAAAATTGGCATAAGGCATGTAAAAGAGAATAACTATCCTGTATCCTGTGTGGTGGAAAGATGTGTGTTTGTGTCTGCGTGTGCGCATACACACACACACAACATGAATGAGAGCAGAGGTAGGGCAAGAAGGAATGTAAAACAGAGGGTAAGTCTGAACTGTAAAAGAATGTGAATGCCAGACTGAGGAGTTAGAGTTTATTTTGTGTACTCTGGTGGATACCAACTGAGATTTTTGAATGACACAATCAGATTTGTATTTTAAAAATAAAATAGACAGTAGTATGTATGACTTATTAGAACAAACAATGTGTATAATTTATTAGAATGAGGTAAAGGCTGGGATATCAGCTAAGAAGCTACTCTTGGACAGGGAGAGAGTGGAAAGGAAGGGTACTAGGAAAAAATAGGAGCTTGCTAATATTTCCTACATAAGCAGTAAGAAAATTAGGTTATATAAAATATTGTCAGTACGCAGTTGACTTTAGATTATAAGGCTGAGGGTGATTCCCACTTCTCCTTTTGTGGTTTTATTGTCTAAATTTTCTCTAATGGACAATTATCAGGTTCACACAATCTATGCAAATGCACACACACACATATATTAACCTTAAAAGGGAGGATTATTAATCTTTTACTGCCTATCCTAATAGTCAAGATGCATTTTCTTACCATGAACTTAGACTAATTTACTGTAATTTCTCATTCTTGAAATAATAAGGAGTATTTTTTCTTATCTATAAGCCACAACAATAAATACCAAATTCAAAATTTTTATAAAGGGAATGTATGTTACTCTAAAGCAAATTAGTTTAGAAATATGATATATCATAGAAGAGCAATAATTCAATGTAATTTTTCTATTTGAAATTCTTATTGAGTATATAACAACCACACTGTAGAATATTTAACTAAATATAAAAATAAGTTAAGTGTTGAAGAAAACACTAGGATGGTATGAGTAAGTGCATAAATGGTTTTCTATTCTTCAAAGTAACTAGGAAAATGCATTATGTCTCTAGTTATGTTGAGATAGGTTCAATAGCAAAGGCATAAAGTTGGAAGATGAAAATAAGAATGGGGGGTAACTATATTAACTCATTAGTTAATGAAGCAATCCTTAAATTAAACTTGTAGCAATATATATACCTTTGGTTGATATTCCTAAAATATTTAAAATGAAAATATTGTGTGTTGTTAATAAAGGTTCTGTGCTTCTAAACCTGTATGATTTAAAGCAGTGTATATATCCTATACTCCCTCCCATCGCCATTTTGAGGCTATTAAAATAACATTTTAAAGCAATTTTATATAAATGTTTATTTTTATTATAAAAATATGCTTATTATAAATATTTGAGAAAAATACAGAAAAACTGAAGCATCTTTTAAAAAGTGTATAAAGATGAGAGCAGCCTTGATAATGGTCTCATAGTATTACATAAGATGATAAAATATTATTTTAAATGTGGGAAAATATGACACAATGCTAGGTTAAAAATATGCAAGACACAAAATTTACAAAGAGTGTCCTAAGGTTACATATATACATATTTTTGTATACATTTATATATTTCTCAATTTTTCTATAATAGTAACTAAAAAGTTACATAGAAAAAATGGGGTTCCTGGCAGCAGTAAAACTCACATCTATGCAATTCCAAAGATTAGAAAGAGAAAAAAAGTCTACTTAAATCAAAGTAATGGAGTCCAAACATGACTTGGCTAGTCGTATGACCTGGAACAAATATATTTAATCTCTTTGGGCCCCATTCCTTAGCTGTAACATAATAGGATTGAACTAAATAAATGCTTAGGTACCATTCAACTTTAAGATTCTTTAACTCAAAAGGATTAAGGCAGGTCTTGCCAGAAAGGAAATTTTTATGTTTGGAACCCCAATCAATAAACCAAGCTAAGCAGAGTTTTAATAATAAACTGTAGTAAAAACTCTGACTCAACTCAGAGTAATATTCATATGTTTAAAATGAAAGTGCTAATTTTTCTGTGATATTCCAATGAAATCTACTAATGCTTGCAGTAAGAAAACAAGCATACTTACACATATTGAGCTGCCGTATGAAGCTAGAGATATTGTTATGTTTGAAGTATTTTGGAAGTAGATCTTTGGCAAAGATTTGTTCATTCACAATGCGAAAGGTCTGACCATTCTAGAAATAAAGAAAGATAAAAAAAAAAATAGCCTTGAAATGTTGAAATGAAGTTTCAACAAAGCAACAATGCATCAGGAACAAAAAACTGGAAAGACTTATGAAAATGTAAAGCCATAAATATTCTCTCGTAGAGACAGAATATACCACAAAGAGAAACCATGTATAAATATGCAATGGATTTGACCACAAACCATGAAAACATATGTACATAAATAGCATACATTTAAAAATAGAAAGAAACAAAATTAAAAGGCAAAATACAAAATGGGGAAAATATTTTCAACACATATAACAAAGAACTGCTATTATTAACATGCGATGAGCTTTTACAAATTATTAAAAGACGATAACTCTATTAGAAAAAAAATGGAAAAAGACATGGAGAGGCAATTCAAAGATTTAGCCAATTAAGGTGTGAAAAAAAATTCAAAATGTAAATTAAAGCAGCAATGTGATATAATCTTTTGCCTATCAAATTGGCAAATATTAAGAACAATGTTAATCTACAGTGTTGGCAAGTTGGCAAGTGTCCATATAAACAGGAAAGCACACATTGTTGGTGGCAATTTAAATTATATTAACATTTCTATCAATATGTATTTAAAGCCTTAAAATAGTCAGTGTTTAGCTTAGAAATTTCACTTCTATAATGTATAGGGAATAATTATGGATATGTATCAAGATTTAGCTATAAGCTGTTACTTAAACAGTTTTCTATAATATTAAAAATTGGAAACAACCTAAATATTGTAAGAATGACTAAATTTTGATATATCCATACAAATGAATGTTATATATAGCCATAAAAATGAAGCTGTAGAATATTTAATGAACAGAAATATTCATAATGTATTTTAGGTAAAAAAAGCAAATTTCCAGACAGTATAAAATAAAATATTAATATATCATTTTATAAATAATAAAGATACCCACATATACAAAAGAATATACTGCAATTTTAATAATGGTTATCACTGGATGGTAACATTAATATTTTTGATTATTTTTATTTTCTAAATTTTCTACAACAAAAGTATACTACTTTTATAAAAAAGTTATTTTAAAGGTAGGCAAAGGTGATATACATATATTCTTGTATAATTGCTAATTCTCTTAAATTAGAAATTCAATAAATTTAATGAAATTATAGCAAAATAAATTAACTTTGATATCCTGTTACTAAAATTTCATTGTCTAATTTAACTAAAATTTAGATAAAACTTATTTGTCATTTCCCTATATTACCTAACAGATCAGTTCTTCAGAGATGAAATGGATCATCATAATCCCAAAAGGCACCAAGGGGACAAATCCAGGAATTTTAATTCATTCTATTTGTTCTCAGACTCCCCAAGACACTTTTATTGAAGGAGTGTATTATTGGCGAAAGGGGTTGTCTTTAACTGGCTTTGCTTCTCAAGAACACTTGGTGCTATTGATAAACCAAACTAAATTATTCTGAGGACCAGAATCCCCAGAATCTACTTCAGCTCAGGCTTATCCCAAAATTGACTGGCCTTCAGAGATAAGAGAGAATACCAGGGAATATCTGCAAAATGTAACATTAGTCTATCTATCTTCCCTTGATCAACCTTCAGTGGAGCTACAAATGATGACTCAATTAAAAGTAGTCAGGAAGTGAAAAAGCCCTAGAGCAAATTATCTGTAAACTGGATAAATGGTATATGCATAGTTAGTTGTTTGATAATATGTAATAAAAGTGAAAGCAAAATATGATGATGAACATTCTAATTTAATCACATTGTGGATTTTGGTCATTCTTAACTTTATGGAAATTAAAAAATGAATATTAAAAAAGAAACACATGAAAAAGATGAATTAGAAAGTGATTATCCATATTACAAAAAAAATGATAGTATAGGATGCCTTTAAGGGGTACACTTCCCTTCCCATGTTTACAACATTATTTGACTGAAAAGAACTCAAATGTCCAACAAATAGGGGTAAAAGATTAAGTCACCTATAGCATATTTGTATTATGGAATATTATGTAACTATTAAAAATGTTGTTTTAAAAAATAATTTCATGAGAAAATTTTCACAATGTAAAAATATACAAAATTTTTTTTGTTTGCTGTTTTAAAATATACAAAATTATATGCATCATATAATCTTTTATTTTTTTTCTTTCTTTCTCAAAATAAATATTGGCTTTATTCTGATTGTGAAAATGATATATTATTAGTATAAAAAATAAATAATACAGAAAAATAAAAGGTCAATGTCATAAAAAAAATCCCACCATCTAGAGATAACCACTGTTAACATTTTAAAGGACTCCCTTCCAAGATATCTGTCTACATATACACCGAACTATATGAATATATATACACACACAGTGAAATCTATATGTATACTGAAATGTATATATGCACACACTGAAATTTGTATACACACTGATATATACATAATAATCATATAAAAATGAGATTTTATTATAATAATTAAGTAGACTTAAGTAGAATAATGCTAAGTATGCTGTTCTACAAGTCTAATTCTATACAAAATTTATAAAAAATGTAAAGCAAATCAAGGACTCACTGCTCAGAAATAGCCACTGTTTAAAATTTTGTTATATTTACTTAAATCTACATTTTACAAAGTTTCTACAGTAAGTACACCTTATATTTAGGATTTTAAAACACTTAAAACTATTACTTGATTTTACAAACATACATACACAACTTTTCAGGAACTCAGCTACACCATAAAAGTTACCTGTATGATTATATCTCTGTTCCCAACAAACAATTTGTAAAAAGTGCCTTATTACCTTACATTACTTTTTGTAGACTATAACTTTCCATTTCAGCTCCAGTCAGAGAGCTAAAATACTGCTGACAAATTTGCAAAGAAAAAGCTGGCTTCCACTTGGTCCTGAGTTAGCTTGGGAAGAAAGTATGCCAGCAAAGTAGGCAGATATACATCTCTAATAGAAACTTATTTTTTTAAATAAGGAGTGCCACTTCTAAATCACTACTGGTCCTGTAAATCAGTGCTTTCTGGAAACTCATTTGGCAATAAGAATTGTCTTTAAAATGTTTCTATCTTTGAACTTAGTACCTATTCTAGGGAATCTATTCCAAAGAAATTGAAACTATGACAAATATTTCTGTACAAATGTACTCATTGTGTCATCAAGGAATTATTTTATTTATTTATTTATTTTTGAGACAGAGTCTCACTCTGTTGCCCAGGCTAGCGTGCCGTGGCGTCAGCCTAGCTCACAGCAACCTCAAACTCCTGGGCTCAAGTGATCCTCCTGCCTCAGCCTCTCGAGTAGCTGAGACTACAGGCATGCGCCACCATGCCTGGCTAATTTTTTCTATGTATAATTTTAATTGGCCAATTATTTTCTATTTTTAGTAGAGACAGAGTCTCGCTCTTGCTCACGCTGGTCTCAAACTCCTGAGCTCAAACGATCCGCCCGCCTCGGCCTCCCAGAGTGCTAGGATTATAGGCGTGAGCCGCCATGTCCGGCCTGGAATTATTTTTAACAGTCGAAAATTAAAAAGAATATAAATACCTAAAATAGGTTTGCTAAGTAAATTCTTATACATCTAGATGGATTATTATATAGTCAGTAAAACAATATTTTAAAATGTTTAATACCATAAGAAATTGGTCAGAATACACTAATGAAAAAAATTACAAAAGTCTGCAGAATATGACCTCAATTTAGTAAATAAATGCATATTTGTAAATATATAATTACACACACATTATACACATAAAAATATGCAGGAATAAATAAATACATAGCTATATATGTAGATAAATATGTGTATATTAATACATATACCAATATAGAAAAGAATACTTAAAATTTGGGTTATATTTGAGTGCTGTAATTATAGTTGCTATTTTTTCCTTTCTGTGCCATATACATAAAATATACACACAGTTTTTCGAGATTCAGTGCTCTAGTACTTTCATTCATGGTATCTGAGGGAGCAATAATTCTAAAGATGATGTCGGTTTCAGTGAGTGTACCCAAATATCAATAGTTTTAACAAACATAATAACTTGCTTACCAGAAAAATCCAGGGTCACAAGCAATAGCTCTTAACTCAGAAAGGCACTAGGTGGCACTCTCTCCCACCCCACCCACCAACATCAGCTAGCTGCCTAAAAATGTTCTAGGTCCTCTCCCACTCCAACAGTAGCAACAGAGCTATACACATCCAAGTTTAATAACTTAGGTGCAGAGCCTGATTAGTACACAATGGAATGAAAACAGTGTTTTGTTTCACATGGGACTAAGACTGGGCTCAAAGTCCTTTTCATAATAATAAAAATAAACAAAGAGGATCATGCCATCCATTAGCACTATGCCAGAGAGCAATGATATCCCCTTTCTATGGCATAGCCAAACCATTAAAAAAAAAAAAAAACTCAGTTCACAAAGTGATGTATAAAGTAAACTGCTTCCTAAACTAACCAATAGCTTGATTTTGGGAGACAACAGAACTCTTGTAGGTTTATCCTCTATAGATAAACTAAAAAAAATCAACTTGATTTAATTAGTATTTTTCTTGTATCTTTCAACTTCTTAATTTGAAGTCCAAAGCTATAGGTATATGAGGTGATTGATGAGGTAAAGTGGATTGAAAAGTTAGTTACCAGCCAGGCCCAGTGGCTCATGCCTGTAATGCTAGCACTCTGAGAGGCTGAGGCAGGAGGATCACTTGAGGTCAGGAGTTAAAGACCACCCTGAGCAAGAGCAAGAGCCTGTCTCTTCTTTTAAACAAATTTAAAAGGTTAGTTACTACCCCCAATGCACTTTTAATGTAATAAGAGGCATAAAAACAATACATAAATAATCATAATACATGGGTGAATAAAATCAGTGAGGTACAGAGAAAGCATTTGAAATTCTTAAAGGAAGAGGAAATCTAATGTCTAACTTGGGCAGATTTTTCTTCCTTGAGGAGGTAGGATTTGAGGAATTTTGGAAGTTGGTTAGGATTTCAATAAGGAAAATATAGGTATATTCAGAGAGCAGCAAGCAATCTAATTTGGCTGGAACATAGAATACATGCAGGAAAGTAAAAAAGATCAGGAATTTTTGAGGAGTTTTTCTGTAATGAGGAGAGAAAAGGGATGGTAGATGGAGGGGGTAATGATATCAAAAGAAAATAAATTATGATGAGAAATAATGGCATGTTTGTGTGCTGATAGAGAAAGAGTTAAGGAAAATTGATAATACAGGAGAGAGAGAAAAGTTTCTGGAGAAATGTCCTTAAGAAGAGAAAATGAAATTAAGCATACATGTGGAGGGGTGTGCTCATCTAGTAGCACAGCAGGTCATCTATAGTAACAGGAGGTAAGGCAGAGTAAATAGAAAACTGATAACTAACAGTTGGATAGATGTGGTGTGGGATATTATAAAAATTCCATTTGCCCATTTATTTACTCAGTAAAACAACAAACAAAGTAATTGGCTGAGAGTAAGGCTGGGGGTGAAGATGCTGGAATTCTGAGAAAAGAAGGCATAAGAGTCATCTATGAAAGTTAGTGAATGAACTAGAGGAAAATGTAGTGTTATTCCCAGGTGGCTTTAAATACCTAACTGATGTTAGTTATCATAAGTTTGAAGTGAAACTACCCATCCATCATGGTTGTGTATTTTTATACAGCTACATTCAGCTGTGCAGGCAGAGGCATGGAGTAGATAAAAGGTTGGAATTGACTAGGGTGAGGATTGACTATTGAATATGAAAAAGTAAAAAACAAAAACAATTGGGGTGAGGGATTTAAGGGTCTATGCAAAGAAGAGATTGTTATTGATCATAGAATTTAGGTGGGAAAGGGGAAGTGGGGACATAAGGGAGAAGAGGGGCAGTGAAAAGGCAGTGGAACCAATGGGTATGAAGTTATACTTGGTGTGTTTTCCATCAGCACTGAATAATATAAATTAAATAGTGTATTTATTTATTTCATCCTAAAGTTAATAAGGTTAAATAACAAAACAGAATTTCACACACATCTTAACCTTCCTTGTATAATTCCAACTTTAAAAATGGCAACCCAATATACATGAATCCCATATTGATATAAATAAATGAATGACTGAATAAAGGAATTAGAGAGAAGAGACACATTTTTACAGAATAATCTAAAATAATATATGTAGGTATACTGCCATTCAGGAGGTGGAGCCTAATTCAACCTCCACCAACCACTTTGAGTATGGTCTGGACTTAGTGACTTACTTTCAAAGAATAGAACGTGGAAAGGTGAAGAGTAACTTTACAGGGGATAAACCTGAAAGATACTACCTCAGCCAGGTGATCAAGGTTAACATCACCAGTGGTAAATAATGTTGACAGCATGTATCCCTGGATATGATGTGATGCGGACAACACTTCACCTCTGTGGTATTCTTCCCCCAAATCTATAACTCAATTTAATCATGAGATAAACATTTGGTAAATACAAATTAAAGAACATTGAGGAACATCTTCAAAACTGTCAGTGTCACAAAAAACGAGAAAAGACTGAGAAGTTTTCACAGATGTAAATTATGCCCACCATGGCCAATTTCACTCTGTGATCAAATCACTGAATGCAAAGTTAGGGGATGAATGAAACTGGTTTTCATGAGTTCTTCTGAGCAGAATCAGCCCACTCCAGTGTACCACTGTTGATAAAGCATGAGTGCTTCAACATACACATTTACATGTCACATAGGGCAAAAATCATACAAAGCATAAAGAACAACTTTTGTCTATCATGTGTAAATGTGTCATAACATTTCAGTAGATCTTGTTGTGAAAGGCTCTAAAAGTTCAGTGATTGTAAAGAGGCTTACTTAAACTTCAATGCTTTAAATCAATAATATATTTTCTTCAACTATTTATTATAAAATGTTTTAAGTATATAGAAAAGTTGAACATTTATATCTTTATCACATAGATTCTATAATTAACTTTTTACTCTATTAGCTTTATATCAAACCTCTCTATACATTAATCCATCTTAATTTTTGAATGTTTTCCAAAGATGCAGACATCAGCACACTTCACATTTAAACACTTCAGCATGCATATCATTAACTTGGAGTTTGTTATTCACTTTTAAGTTTTTTAGGAAAAAAATAGATAAAATTTACATTTAGCAAAATGAACAAGCCTTAAATATACATTCAATGAGTTTTGGCAAATGCACATACCTGTAACCCAAACCTCATCAAGGTGTAGACTATTAGCGTTTCCTGAAAAAGTTTCCTCACTCGCTTTTCTAGTCAAACCTGGGTCCCTCAACAGAAGTATCTACTGTTTTGATTTTCTTTAACCATAGATTATCAACATGGTATTTACAAAAAATATGTTCCTAGGCTTAAAGAATTGGAATTAATTTTTAAAAAAGGCGATAGAACTGGAGAAATGGATCAGGAAAGAATGAAATGTAATGGAAAATAGTACTGTGTTGTGTAAACACACATTTTTCAAAAACTATCAGTTAAGTCATGAAGCTTCAAAGGCTCATGTTTCTCTTCAATTATGCTAAAAATCTCTTGTGTAACTAAAACCAATTGTTTATTGCTTTCATATTTTTTCTCAGAGTAGTTGTTTAATAAATATGAGCAACTAATATAAGGCTCTATACTTCACAATAAAGAATATCACATATATAGAGAGAGAGTTTTATCATTTACAAAGCACTTTCATATACATTCTTTCACAAATGCTTAGGCTGAAGCCATCTGGGCAGATGCATAGTCATGAAAATCCCAGAGAAAGGTACTAAAAGACTCAGTTTTTCCAAACTGTCTGAGCACACTTGTTTCTTTCCATGTTAAATAGTTTGCCTCAAGAGTTCTTGCCTTTTAGCCATATGTATAAAATAATTATAATTAAATGATATGACATCCAGGATTTGCTTCAAAATAATTATAGGGGGAGTAGGAAATAAGAAAGGTCATTAGTTGATCATTACTGAAGTGTCCTATGGATATTTGGCAGTTCATTGTACCACTTATTCTATATTTGTGTATGTTTAGGGTTTTTTTTAAGTAATAGAAAGTTAAAGAAAAAGTTTTATCCCAATTTACATAGATACTTTGCAAAGGTGAGTATCACCAGTTAGAGAATTGGCCATATTTCCCTTTAACGGATCTTACAGGGTTCTGTGAGTCCCAGTCAGGGTGATTAGAGGCTAGTACAAATCAGAATCCTAGCACACTGTCTGAGCAAGTATATGGTTGCCTGATTGGGCAACGTGCAAAGCTCACTGGGCGGGAAGAAGCTGACAATGCCTGGCGAGGCACGAGGTCCACCGCAAGAAAATTCTCTTAAGAACCTGTGAGAAAAGCTAGCCTTGCTAAAAGCATATAAGACACTGAATTTAGGTCAGCTTGGCAAGAAAGCTCCCATTATTTAAGAAAATAAACAACACAAAAAGTAACTTGTACGCCGAGAAGGGCAGAGCGCGTTGCTCACTAGTGTGTGTCCAGACACTTTCATTGTGAGGAGTTCCTCTTCTGGGTGAGAGACCTTTTACTCATATGCCACATGCTTAGCAATTCTGACAAGAATATATGCAGAAAACAAGGTTATCTTTTGTGGGGAACCATAGGGAAAGCCATGAGGTGAAACTGCCATATTGAAGAAAACTGAATTTGTGCGCCAAAGGAGTGTGGGGTAGGGAAAAGTTCCTCTGCCTCTCTGACTGACTAGACACCAAATCTTCCCACATTTGTGGGATGACCTTTTCTGAGTCCGCATCCCTCTCCTCACATTCATTCTTCTTCCTACACAGGCCTTTACCTCATTCCAGCCGATCACATCGTCCAAGACAGTGTCGTCCACTAACGCCCACAGCTTGGCGAGAAAGCCAGGAACGGCTAAACTGCAGGCTGCTTCCATGGTTCTGAGTGCTAGACCACGAGGAAGGCAAAGGCAGTAGTAACTGCAATGGTATGGGCTACCACTTTACTTGAGAGAACACGATGGGTCAAGGCAAAGAGTAGCGTGACTAAAAGCCAGTTAAGTCTTTCCCCACTTGGGGGCGGTGCCTGATTGCCCAAAGCTTAAACCTCATTGGCTGATTAAGCTATGGCGATTTCGAAGCCCTACTGCCACGTGACTGTTAGGTAACTTTGGGTAGAGGGCAACTTTTAAAGGGGCAGGGAAACATAGCCATGAGGAAACTTGTGTATGGGGCATAAGTTTTGACATTGCTTTTCTGTTTGTTCCTTCTCTGGCTCTCAGTACATAAGCAATGAGCAGGAACGACTTAAGCTTTTTTGAAACCCCCTTGTTCTCTTTACCGGTGGTTAGCAACTTATGGGTATGCCAATGCAAGGAACAGCATTACATGACGTGGGTCATACCTTTACACTGCACAGGGAATCACATTGTATGGCGTAGGTCACGAGCTGGCACCCAAGGGGCATGGCACTTCACTAGCTTAGCATCACATTACCTTTATGTTGCATGTATCTTGGTTTTGAACTTAATGGCATTACAAGGTGTTGCATTGCAGTGCATGGTTTTAATTGTTTCTCAGAAGAGATGGTGAGCATTCATGGCATACATTTTTGTCAGGAAGAAAGACTTCTGGAAGAAAGACTTAGGAGAGAGGCCTTCCCCTCCTCCTAGTGGTAAGATTGGGAAGAAGGAAATCGATGAGAAAGGAACTTGGGTAAAAAAGCCTAGTGTTTTTCATTTCTTATTTCCCTTTTCATTAGAAAATATTGGGTGGTTAAAATGCTATTTGTTCTATGAAGTCTTCTTGGATCTCCCTGATTGGTTCTGAAATTTGTCACTCCCTCCCTTATAGAGCTAATATTATTAATAATAACAATAATAAAAAGTAGTAGTAGTTTTCTCACTTATACATTGCTTGGATTTTAGTAACTTGTAGGCACGCATTCATACAATGTTAGAGGTGGAAGGGAACTTAAGGCTCAGTTCTCTCAGTTTTAAGGGGAGATAATTGAGGCCCAGCGCATCTTTTTGTTGACTAAATAGTAAATTGATTAAGGGTAGGCAGTGTGCCTCATTTTAAAAAATAAATGGTCATTCTTCAATGAAAATTGAATTACCAATTCCTAAGAGTGTTAATTAAAATTTAGAAAAAGATTGATATTTAGATTGAGATATATTTTCCCTTTTTGTACTTTTTATCCAATATTTATTATTTAATCTGTACCTCCCACTGTTCTTTGACCAATACTATTTGCTCAGTTGAATTCCCTTACTTATTTCTTAAAATCTTTTCAAATGAACTAAAGTTATATATAAATTAATACCTTTCCTTTTTTGTGTCAATGGTTTAGTGATCTCTAATAATAGAACTGGTTGGATTTAAAGGTCTCATGACTTCTCATGATTCCTTGCCTGAGAGCTTCATTTCTCTTTAATTTCTTCCTACCTCCTCCTCATTTGCTTTCTTTATTCTATGTCCCACCCATCTATCATTCAAAAATAAGCTAAGGAAGGCTTTGTAGGCCTTCTTTCATTCCAGCCTTCCCTAGTCTTGGCCTTCTCTAAGGGAAGCTCTACCAGACAATTAGCATGTTTGTCATGTAACATTGTATTATTTGTTTTTGCTAATAATTTAGATTTTTCTATCAATAAATAATTCTTATTATATATGATAATGCTTCATTTGTGAATTATTTCTCAAGTTAATGTCTTCACTCCCTAACTGGATTATAAACTTGTTAAAATCAAGACTATTTCATATAATATACTTTTTTGACATCTCCTTATAGCATAGCGCTAGGTACATAGTAGGTGCTCAGTAAATATTTGTTGATTGAACAGTGCTCTCTAGGCCATCCTTTCCTTTACAGCAATACTTCTCTATGTTCAATAATTTTGGGATTGCTTTCCAACTGGTCTTTCTACCTCTATATTTTCTTCTCAAGGCCATCCTGTATACTTCTGCCAGATATAATTCCTCTGCTCAGAAAAATATGGTGGCTTTCCATTGTGTACCATATAAAGTTCATATTCCTTAGCATGGCATTCATTTCTCTCTTCACGGTGATCTAAATGTTCATTTCCTGCCTTAGCACCCACTATGTCCCCTCACATGATGTGTGATCCAGCCAAAAGGAAACACACACACACACACACACACACACACATTCCCCTAGGTGTATACTCTGAATTTTAAGTATAGTCAATCCTCCATATCCACTAGTTCCACATCTATGAATTCAACCAACCACAGATTTAAAATATTAAAGAAAACACAACAAAAATAACAATGTGACAATAAAAATAATGCAAATTAAAAAACAATACAGTATAATTACTACTTAGCATTTACATTGTATTAGTTATTATAAGTAATCTAGAGAGTATTTAAAGTATGCAGGAGGATATATACATAGGTTAGGTTATATGCAAATACTATGCCATTTTATACAAGGGACTTGAACATCCACAGATTTTGGAGTCCGTGAGGGATCCTGGAACCAACCCCTACAGATAACAAGGGACAACATAGGGAAAAGATCACTAGATTTGTATTTATAAAAATTATTATGGTTTCATAGCACAAAATTTATTTCAGGAGGAGTTTCAAGACTTTAGACAGGAAGCCCAGTTAGGAGATTGTGACAACAGTTCAGGTGAAAGATGATGGCATCTTAAACCAGTAGTAGCACACAGGATGAGCAGAAGTAATCCAAGTCTAGAAATATTTAGGAGGAAGGATCAACAGGACTAGATGATTGACTAGATGTGAGAAGTAAGGGAAAGGGGAGTATCAAATCAAGAATGACTCCTGGGTCTCTGGAGTGAGTGGAGGGTGGTACAATTCACTGAGATAGAGACTGCAATGAAAAGCAATATTGTGTGAGGGAACTGACAAGATGATGGATGCAGAAATGGAACCTTGAGTCTTGAGTGTTTGTGGGACATTTAAGTAAGAGCATCTGGTATTTGTATCTTCAAGCTCTGGAAAGACATTGAAGTGGGGATATAAATTAAGAGTCCTCAGCATGGTACAGCAAACCATGGCAGCAGATGAGCTTGCCCAAAGGGGGTGAATAGTAAGAGAAAGAAGTTTAAGAGAGAGCCAATATTTGAAATCAGCCTTTGAGGATGGAGGTAGAAGGAAAACTGAGACAGTGCAATGTCACAGAAGCCACTGGGTGAGTGCTTCAAGAGGTAAAGAGTGAATGACAGGGCTGGGCGCGGTGGCTTACACCTGTAATCCTAGCACTCTGGGAGGCCGAGGCGGATGGATCACTTGAGGTCAGGAGTCTGAGACCAGCCTGAGCAAGAGTGAGACCTTGTCTCTACTAAAAAAATAGAAAGAAATTAGCTGGACAACTAAAAAAAAAATAAATAATAATAATAATAAAATATATATATATATAAAATTAGCTGGGCATGGTGGCGCATGCTGTAGTCCCAGCCACTCAGGAGGCTGAGGCAGGAGGATTGCCTGAGCCCAGGAGTTTGAGGTTGCTGTGAGCTAAGCTGATGCCACAGCACTCTAGCCTGGGAAACTATCTTAAAACTAAACTAAACTAAAATAAAAATAAATATAAAGCATGATTGACAATGTTACATTTGAAAGATACTGACTGAGAAGTATTCAATGTATTTAGCAATAAGGATTCCTTCAGTGAGAACAGTTTCAGTGAAGTGATTGTGATGGAAGAGGAAGTAAAAATTATCATTGTGGGCTGAGGAATGTATAGGAGGTGAGGAAATGCTGTACATTGTTCTTCTGAGAAATTTGTCTCAGAATATGAGGAAAGGAAATAAAAGCATGTATGTTCTTTTCAGGTGGCAGACACTTGAGCATGCTTAATGGCAGGAATAATCCATTATAGAGAGATTAAAGATAGAAAAGGACAATATCAGGGATTGGCAAACATTTTCAGAAAATGGCAGATAGTAAATACGCTTGGCCTTGCAGGTCATTCAGTCTCTGTTGTAATTACTCCACTCTATCATTTTAGCACAAAAGCAGCCATACACAGTATTTAAATGGATGATCATGGGTTTGTTCCAATGCAACTTTATTTATAGATAATGAAATTTGAATTTCATATAAACTGCACATCAAAAAATATTCTTCTTTTTATATTATTTTCAACCATTAAAAAGTGTAAATTTTATTCTTAGCTTGTGAGCCTTACAAAAAGAGATGCCAAGCCATATTTGGCCCATGGACCTTTGTTTCCAGACCTCTAGATTAGGCAGTAGAGAAAGAGGATGCAAGTCATGGGAGGCCGACAAACCCAGAGAGAGGAACCAATCTTAGTAAGGGGGACATTTCTTCCTTTGTAATGGAAGGTAAAGAAGGAGAATGAGTGTAGTTGAAGTTAAGTTCTTGTATTTGTTGAGACAGTTTCTATCTGAGGGTACTTAACTTTAACAACACTCATTTGAGGGTTACCTGTTTTATTTAATTTAATCTTCACAACAATCAGTGTGTGGCGGGGTGGAGGATGGGGAGGGGATGACAGAAAAGGATTGAGTCTAAAATTTGAACGGAGAGATGACTAGACAGTAAACTAGGGAACTACAGAAGGCTGATAATCCAGTTGAGGTTAAGGAGTAGTTTGTTGGTTCAGTTAAAGATTGGGTAGAGTTGAGGATTTGGGCAAGAGATAGTTGAAGTGATATACTATTAATTATAACTGTTAAGGGAAAGAAATGAAAACACAAGAGGCCTACAAAATAAAAAGTAGTATATCATAGTACTTAAGAAAGTAGGTTCCGAAGAACTGGGTTCAAATTTTAACTCTACTGCTTATTATTTTTGTATCTTTGGGCAAATGACTTCACTTCTATGAGCTTCTGTTTCCTCATCTATAAAAGAATAATAAGAGCTCTTCTCTTATTGTTGTGAAGATTAAATTAGATAAAACAGGTGACCCTCAAACAACACAGGCTTGAACTGTGTGGGTTCACTTATATGTGGATTTTCCTCTGCCCTCTGCCACTCCTAAGACAGCAAGACTCACCCCTCCTCTTCCTTTTCCTCCTGAGCCTACTCAAAGGGAAGATAAGGAGT